GGTTCGGTTTTCGGTTAGTTAAGTAACGAACGAACGAACGAAACGGTAAACGGTAACGTACGCGACGACGACGACATTATATATATATANACACACACACACACACACACACACATATATATATATATATATATATATATATATAATATATATATATATATATATATATATACATATACATATATATACACACATATATATATATGACAATTCATTCAACGGACGAATATTATATAACAAACTACACAATTACATGTATACTTGTACGTATATACATATGTTGACATCCATGCTTGTATAGCATATACGTACCGCTCGATGTGAAGAGATGGATGGCCGCGTACTTGAAGTTGTTTTGGAAATCCATTTCGATCTTCTTGAAGGATTCAGCACATGGCTTTACAAAGTATATGGCCTCGTAGTGTCGCAGAGGCTGGCGTACCTTCGACAACTGTTCCACCACTGGTCATCCGTTTGAGTGCATAGTAAGTTAACGTGAGAAGGATGTGTATGTATACACAAACACTTGAAGTTGTGTATAAGATATATTTATGGATGGATACAGTGCGATTGCGTGCGAATACCCCGCGCAAGGTTTTTCCCAAAGCGTTAAACCGGTTTATTTTATGGAAGGGCAGGTGGACAAGGGAAAGTAACGGCAGATTATAGACACGAAGAATCAGCTCAGTTCAGTAGGCCAAGTATGTAGTCTCGCAGTGTCAAAGTGGCTGGTGCGCCTTTGCCCGTTGTCAGTTATAACGTACACGCACACAGCTAATGAAAATATATATTTGTTATCGTTGTTAGTTATAACGTACATGCACACAGCCAATGAGAATGTACATCCGTTATCTCGTTCCTACAAGCATGTAAAAAAGACCAAACCGAGACACTGCCCCTATGTGGTGTGCCCGTGTGTGTGTATGACTAACTGCCTGGTTTGTACATGGGTCTCAAAGTTCGCTGCTATGACAAATCATACCGTAAACGACTATGGCTACCTCAGACGGTCGTTAAAGATCTGAATATCTATTTTAAACAAGTAGTACATGCGATGTAGTAGACAGTCTGATGCTGACTATATTGTCCATGCGATGTAGTAGACACTCTGATGCTGACTATATCGTACATGCACACAGCTCATGGGAATACAAAGAATGTCATGTCGTCCGTTCAAGCCAGCGACAGAACTCCACAAGAAATGAAACGCACAACATACCTGTGACTCCGTTGTCGGTGATGTCGTACATGCGCACAGCCGATGAGATGATGCGTGTGGTGTGGTCGTCAATAACCAGCACCTTCCACTCATTGGCTGGTTTTACGGCCTTGATCATCTGATCCATGATACCTACGCAAGAAGAAACAACATCAGAAAGCGGTGAGGAGATAGAAATATAGCTGTCTAGGACGATAAGCCAGATCACCGGAACAATAACCATGAGAATGTGGCGGAGTAAAATCAGAACATACGAGACCATATATTTGTCAATCAACAAATAATACACATAACTCGAGCACTTGAAACAGAAAAAGTAGCATGGATTATACACAGAAGATAGTTGTATGAGAATATATAAGAATATATAAGGATATAGAA